CTCCTTCTTTCTTTTCCTTCCTTCCTGTCCCTCCTTCCTTCCTTCTTCCTTTCCTTCTTTCTAAGATATAAATACAATATTAAATGGAAGGGACAGTCAAGAAGTAACGAGAGAAGGAGGAAAAAAGGGAAGGAAGGAAGGAGAGAAGCAGGGAGAAGGAAGGAAGGAAGGAGAGAAGGAAATAAAAAAGTGAAAGGAAAAAGAGAGGGAAGGAAGGAGAGAAGGAACAAAAGATAAGGAAGGAAGGAAGGATGCATTTAACCAAAGAGCAAAGAAAGGGAGGAAAGAAACAGGTAGGGATGGAAGAAAGATGAGAGATAGGGAAAAAAAAAGAGGGAAGGAAGGAGAGAAAGAGGGAGGGAAGGCTGGCCACAGCAACGCGTGGCGGGTACAGCTAGTAGTCAAATAAAAGACAAACATTGATTTTGCCACTTTATAAACATGGCCACTTTATATTGTGTATTACTTCCCCATTGAGTATTTTTTGGGACCCTGCAACCAAACTTCAGAAGATGACCAAGGGCTCACTGTATATCTGAGGGATATTTCGCGTGTTGGGAGCATTTGAGGATCGGAACATTGGTAAGGAGACCAAGAGGCTTGTTTGCAACGCTGTTGTCCTACCGACTCTGTGAAACATGGACCGCCTTTATGTTGGGATTCAACCCCACACTGCTCAAGTCCTCAATGAGGAACAGTTTAGGTAGCTTAGTATAGGCTAGAGAAGACAATTATTACATAATTCCTTCTACTTTCCCCAGCATAATTGTCTTCTCTAGGCTTTCCCAGAGAAGACAATTATTACATAATTGTCTTCTCTGGGAAAGCCTAGAGAAGACAATTATGCTGGGGAAAGTAGAAGGAAAAAGGAAGAGGGGCTGACCAAGGGCAAGATGGATGCATGGCATCCTTGAAGTGACTGGACTGACCTTGAAGGAGATGGGGGTGGTGACGGCCGACAGGGAGCTCTGGCGTGGGCTGGTCCATGAGGTCACGAAGAGTCGGAGACGACTGAATGAATGAACAACAACAAAGTATAGGCTAAGGCAGTGGTTCTCAACCTTCTTAATGTCACGACCCCTTAATACAGTTCCTCATGTTGTGATGACCCCCAAACATAAAATTGTTGTTGTTGCTACTTCGTAACTGCAACTTTGCTACTGTTATGATGTAAATATGTGATATGCAGGATGTATTTTCATTCACTGGACCAAATTTGACACAAATACCCCATACGCCCAAATCTGAATATTAGTGGGGTTGGGGAGATTTATTTTGTCATTTGGGAGTTGTAGTTGCTGGGATTTATAGTTCACCTACATTAAAGAGTATTCTGAACTCCACCAACGATGGAATTGAACCAAACTTGGTTCACAGAACTCCCATGACCAACAGAAAATACTGGAACAGTTGGCGGGCATTGACTTTAAGTTTGGGAGTTTTGCTGGGATTTATAGTTCACCTACATTAAAGAGTATTCTGAACTCCACCAACGATTGAATTGAACCAAACTTGGTTCACAGAATTCCCATGACCAACAGAAAATACTGGAACAGTTTGCGGGCATTGACTTTAAGTTTGGGAGTTGTAGTTCACCACATCCAGAGAGCACTGTGGACTCAAACAATGATGGATCTGGACCAAACCTGGCATGAATACTCAATACGCCCAAATGTGAAGACAGATCAAATTTGGGGAAAATCAACCTTGACATTTGGGAATTGTAGTTGCTGAGACTTATAGTTCGCCTACAATCAAAGAGCATTCTGAACCCCATGAATGATTGAATTGGGCCAAACTTCCCACACAGAACCCCCATGAACAACATAAAATACTGTGTTTTCTGATGGTGTTTGGCGACCCCTTTGAAATCCCCTCGCGACCCCCCAAGGGGTCCCGACCCCCAGGTTGAGAAACACAGGGCTAAGGGTTTCCCTTCCTCTATGTCTCCTGAATGACAATTGGGAATGTATCTAATTTCTTTTCTCTTTCCTGTTCCTCTTCTCATTCCAATGCAGAGCTGATGCAGAGCCAACCTTCAGAAATGGGGCCACAAAGTGGAATCCTCGACATGCGAGTGTGGAGAAGAGCAAACCACTGACCACCTGCTGCAATGCAACCTGAGCCCTGCCACATGCACAAGGGAGGACTAGGGAAGTCATCCTCCCCATGCTCTATTCCGCTTTGGTTAGACCACACCTGGAATATTGTGTCCAATTCTGGGCACCCCAATTCAAGAGAGATATTGACAAGCTGGAATGTGTCCAGAGGAGGGTGACTAAAATGATCAAGGGTCTGGAGAACAAGCCCTATGAGGAGCGGCTTAGGGAACTGGGCATGTTTAGCCTGAAGAAGAGAAGGCTGAGAGGAGATATGATAGCCATGTATAAATATGTGAGAGGAAGCCACAGGGGGGAGGGAGCAAGCTTGTTTTCTCCTTCCTTGGAGACTAGGACGCGGAACAATGGCTTCAAACTACAAGAGAGGAGATTCCATCTGAACAGAAGAACTTCCTGACTGTGAGAGCCGTTCAGCAGTGGAACTCTCTGCCCCGGGAGTGTGGTGGAGGCTCCTTCTTTGGAAGCTTTTAAACAGAGGCTGGATGGCCATCTGTCAGGGGTGATTTGAATGCAACATTCCTGCTTCTTGGCAGAATGGGGTTGGACTGGATGGCCCATGAGGTCTCTTCCAACTCTAGAATTCTATGAGTCTATGATCCTGAAGTATGGACTGGTTGGATCTTCTCGTGGTCCAAGGCACTCTGAGAACTTTCCTCCAGCACCACAGTTCAAAAGCATCTCTCTTCCTTCGCTCAGCCTTCCCTAACGTCCAGCTCTCACATCCGTAGGTTACTACAGGGAATACCTGGCTTTGACTAGGCAATGGATCTTGGTTGCCAGTCTGATGTCTCTACTCTTCACTATTTTATCGAGACTGGACATTGCTCTCCTCCCAAGAAGGAAGCGTCTTCTGATTTCCTGGCCACAGTCTGCATCTGCACTCATCTTTGCGCCTAGAAATACAAAGTCTGTCACGGCCTCCACGTTTTCTCCCTCTCGTATTTCCCAGTTGTCAATCATTCTTGTTGCCATAATCTTGGTTTTTTGGATGTTTAACTGCAACCCAGCTTTTACACTTTCTTCTTTCACCTTGATTGGAAGTCCTGCTCCCCATGCTCTATTCCACCTTGGTCAGACCACACCTGGAATCACTCTGTGTTTAATTCTGGGCACCACAATTGAAGGGAGATGTTGACTCTAAGCTGGAATTTGTCCAGAGGAAGAGGGCTCCATTGGGTCCCCCCGTCTGCAGAGCAGCTCACAACACACTTGGCCCGCTCCTCATTATGCCGTGCTTTCAAATACTTGGCCATCTGTCAGGGGTGATTTGAATGCAATATTCCTGCTTCTTGGCAGAATGGGGTTGGACTGGATGGCCCATGAGGTCTCTTCCAACTCTAAGAATGAGGGACAATGCCTGGCTCGAGAGCAGTACATGTGAAAAAGATCTTGGAGTCCTCGTGGACAACAAGTTAAACATGAGCCAACAATGTGATGTGGTGGCAAAAAAAGCCAATGGGATTTTGGCCTGCGTCAATAGGAGCATAGTGTCTAGGTCCAGGGAAGTCATGCTACCCCTTATTCTGCCTTGGTTAGACCACACCTGGAATATTGTGTCCAATTCTAGGCACCACATTTCAAGAGAGATATTGGCAAGTTGGAATGTGTCCAGAGGAGGGCAACTAAAACGATCCAGGGTCTGGAGAACAAGCCCTATGAGGAGCGGCTTAAAGAGCTGGACATGTTTAGCCTGAAGAAGGCAGAGAGGAGGCATGATGAGGGCCAAGTATACATATGTGAGGGAAAGTCCTAGGGAGGAGGGAGCTTCCTTTCTGCTGCCCTGGAGACTAGGACGCAATTGAGCCATGGCTTCAAACTACAAGAAAAAAGATTCCATCTGAACATGAGGAAGAACTTCCTGACTGTGAGAGCTGTTCAGCAGTGGAACTCTCTGCCCCGGAGTGTGGTGGAGGCTCCATCTATGGAGGCTTGGAAACAGAGGCTGGATGGCCATCTATCAGGGGTGATTTGAATGCAATTTTCCTGCTTCTTGGCAGAATGGGGTTGGACTGCATGGGCCATGAGGTCTCTTCCAACTCTAAGAATGGGGGACGATGATGCCTGGCTTGAGAGCAGTACATGTGAAAAAGATCTTGGAGTCCTTGTGGACAACAAGTTAAACATGAGCCAGGAATGTGATGTGGCGGCAAAAAAAGCCAATGGGATTTTGGCCTGCATCAAGAGGAGCCTAGTGTCTAGATCTAGGGAAGTCATGCTCCCCATGCTCTATTCTGCCTTGGTTAGACCACACCTGGAATGTTGTGTCCAATTCTGGGCACCACAATTCAAGAGAGATATTGACTCTAAGCTGGAATGTGTCCAGAGGAGGGCGACTAAAATGATCAAGGGTCTGGAGAACAACCCCTATGAGGAGTGTCTTAAAGATCTGGGCATGAATAAGAGAAGGCGGAGAGGAGGCATGATGAGGGCCAGGTATACATATGTGAGGGAAGTCCTAGGGAGGAGGGAGATTCCTTTCTGCTGCCCTGAAGACTAGGACGCACTGGAGCCATGGCTTCAAACTACAGGAAAGAAGAACTTTCTGACTGTGAGAGCTGTTCAGCAGTGGAACTCTCTGCCGTGGAGTGTGGTAGGGGCTCCATCTATGGAGGCTTTTAAGCAGAGGCTGGATGGCCGTCTGTTGGGGGTGCTTTGAATGCCATTGGCAGAATGGGGTTGGACTGGATGGCCCAGGAGGTCTCTTCCAACTCTCGGATTCTAGGATTCCATGAGGGCTGCTGGGGACATCAAGGCGAAGGGAACTCTGCACCTGCTCAGAGGCGAGAGGTTTGGGGCGGGGGGCGGGGTCCTAGTTAAGGGGGCGGGGCGAGGGAGGGAGAGAGGCCCCCGACTCCCTTTCTCTTTCTCTTTCCAGGCTTTCGCTTTCCATCCTTCCTTCTTTCCTTCCTGTTGTCCCCTGGCAGCCATGGAGTTTCCCATCCCGGCGGGCTCTCCTCGGGAGAAGGAGGAGAAGGAGGGCGCTGGGCCCGGGAGGGAAGCCCTTCCTCAAGATTGGGTTGCGTTGAGATACTCGACCCCGTTTTTCTCTTTTTTCCGAGCCGTCTCGTTCTTGAGATCGTCCCTTTCCTTCCAGGTAAGGAGCCAGGAGGGCGGCGCTCTGTGCATGCGCAGGAACCCCCTTTTGCCCCCTCGCCTCAGGGTCCCCTAAGAAGAGAGTGGGAAGAGAGACCTCGGGCATGCGCAGAGAGAGAGAGAGAGAGATGTTGACAAGCTGGAATGTCAACAGGTCTGGAGAACAAGCCCTATGAGGAGCGGCTTAAAGAGCTGGGCATGTTTAGCCTGAAGAATAGAAGGCTGAGAGGAGATATGATGATGGGCATGTATAAATATGTGAGAGGAAGCCACAGGGAGGAGGAGGGAGCAAGCTTGTTTTCTGCTTCCTTGGAGACTAGGACGCAATGGAACAATGGCTTCAAACTACTAGAGAGGAGATTCCACCTGAACATGAGGAAGAACTTCCTGACTGTGAGAGCCGTTCAGCAGTGGAACTCTCTGCCCCGGAGGGAGTGTGGTGGAGGCTCCTTCTTTGGAAGCTTTTGAACAGAGGCTGGATGGCCATCTGTCAGGGGTGATTTGAATGCAATATTCCTGCTTCTTGGCAGTATGGGGTTGGACTGGATGGCCCATGAGGTCTCTTCCAACTCTTTGATTCTATGATTCTATGAATGTGTCCAGAGGAGGGCGACTAAAATGATCCAGGGTCTGGAGAACAAGCCCTATGAGGAGCGCCTGCAAGAGCTGGGCATGTTTAGCCTGTAGAAGAGAAGGCTGAGAAGGCTGTTTTGTTTTTTGTCGTGTCAGGAGAGACTTGAGAAACTGCAAGTCGCTTCTGGTGTGAGAGAATTGGCCGTCTGCAAGGATGTTGCCCAGGGGACGCCCGAATGATTTGATGTTTTATCATCCTTGTGGGAGGCTTCTCTCATGTCCCCAGCATGAGGAGCTGGAGCTGGTAGAGGGAGCTCATCCGCCTCTCCCCAGATTTGAACGTGCGACCTGACAGTCTTCAGTCCTACTGGCACAGGGGTTTAACCCACTGTGCCACTGGGGGCTCCAAGAGACATTATCCTTTCTGCTTCCCTGGAGACTAGGACGCAATGGAACAATTTATTTATTTATTTATTTCAGTTGCTTCTACCCTGCCCTTCTCACCCCGGGGGGGGAGGGGGGGCTCAGGGCGGCTTACAAAAGCGAGGCACAATTCGATCACCCGCAGCACATAACAACGGTAAGACAATAACATCAGTTAACAGAACAGCAACTCTAATAATAACATCAATTAACAGGAAACAGTAATTATTATAAGGCAAAAACAACCATAAAACCCATAAAAGCAATAAAACCAATACAAACCATTTCCTCATTGACGGTCAGTGTTTCACAACCTCATAGTTCAAATTCCAATTCCACAATTATCAGTCCTTTCGGTCCTATCCATCTGGTTATCCGTATCTAATTGTCAGATTGCCCAAAGGCCTGGTCCCACAACCACGTCTTTACCTTTCTCCTGAAGGAGAGGAGGGATGTTGATGCCCTAATTTCCCCTGGGAGAGAGTTCCACAGGTGAGGGGCCACCACTGAGAAGGCCCTGCTCCTTGTCCCCACCAACCTCACTTGTGTTAGTGGTGGGGTCGAGAGCAGGGCCTCCCCAGATGATCTCAAATTCCGAAGTGGGACGTAGAGGGAGATCCGTTCAGACAGATACACTGGACCGGAGTTGTACAGGGTTTTATAGGTCAAGACCAGCACCTTGAATTGTGCTCGGAACTGAACCGACAGCCAGTGGAGCTGACACAGCAGGGGGGTGGTATGCTCCCTGTATGTGGCTTTGATCTTCAAGAAAGGAGATTCCATCTGAACATGAGGAAGAACTTCCTGTCTGTGAGAGCCGTTCAGCAGTGGAACTCTCTGCCCCGGAGTGTGGTGGAGGCTCCTTCTTTGGAAGCTTTTAAACAGAGGCTGGATGGCCATCTGTCAGGGGTGATTTGAATGCAATATTCCTGCTTCTTGGCAGAATGGGGTTGGACTGGATGGCCCAGGAGGTCTCTTCCAACTCTGTGATTCTATGACTAAATGATTCTATGATCCTCACAGCTCAAGGCAGGTTACTACACTGGTAAGACACAGAATCCAAGACACAGCCTTTTAAAAACACTCCATAGAATCCACATATTTAAACACATTTCCATAAAATGCAGATTAAAATACACAAAACAAAAGGAAGACCTAGGGGGGAAGTCGAAAATTGACCATTAAAACTATCTGGGTAGAGAGAAGGAAGGAAAAGAAGGAAGGAGGAAGAAAGCGGTAAGAAAAAGAGAAGGAGGGCAAAGTAAGAAATGGAGAAAGAAAGTCAGAAAAAGAGGAAGGAAGGAAGGAAGGAAAAGAAAAGCAAGAAAGAGAAAGAAAGGGGAGTAGAAAAGAAGATGTAGAAAAGAAGGAAGGAAGGAAACGAGGGAAGGAAGGGAAAAAAGGAAGGCTGGTAGGAGAAAGAAAGGTAGGAAATCAAACAAAAAAAGCGTAAAAAGGAAGGGGAAATAACTTAAAACTCCCCAAAAGATAATTGACAAAAAGATAAATGATATACAGAAAAAAGGGAAGGAAGAGGGAGGGAAGGAAGAGGAAAAAGAAAGAAGGAAGGAAGGAAGGAAGGAAGGAAGGAAGGAAGGAAGGAAGGAAAGAAAGAAAGAAGGGGAATTCAAAAAGTGTGGTGTAGCGAATGCATACAGACGGCTAGCAGTAATATTTTGATTTTTTGGTCAGTCCTCTTTAGTTTTTACCTGGTTTGGGTCCCCGGATGTTACTGAATGACAACTCCCATTGCTTTCCATTCCTTTGTGAGTCGGACACTTGTGCTTAGAGTAATCCCACCCCACCCTTGTGTTGCTTGCAAGCTTGCAGACACTTCCCTCTTTTGCAGACTGTGAGTGCATCCTCACCTCCTATGCCCCAGGCCCACGTGAGGCAAGAAAATGAGACACTGAATGAGGAGAATCTGCAGCCAAATGAACAACCCCAAGAGGATGAGTTTGACATACAAAAAGGTAGGTGGAATTCCACTGAAGGAATGAGAGTAAAGGAAACCTTTCTCCTTCCAGATTCAAAGGACAAAGCTGGGGTGGTTGGGTTGTGCAGCGTTCCAGAACTCTCTGCCGCAAGTATGGTGGAAGCTCCTTCCTTGGAGGCTTTTAAACAGAGGCCTTCTTCCTGAATGGCAGAAGGGGGCTGGACTAGATGGCCCATGTGGTCTCTTCCAACTCTATTATTATTTTCTAGAGAGTCCTTGTTTTTTATTATGCATCCAAAGTATGGCTGCCTCCGTTTGGTTGTCCTGGCCTCAGGCATGTAGGCGGGGGGGGGGGGGGGGGGGGGGGGGGCTTCAGCTCCCCCCCCCCAATTCTCATGGTGGTTCGCGAAAAGGCCTTACTGGTGCTTTATTTAAACTGTTATGTTTATTCATATCATGATCTGATCACCATACTCAATATATCCCATATGCATGGGGGTATTGGGGTAACGATACAAAAGGTTTGCTAGGCTAGACCCTCTTTCACTCAGACTCAGCCCCCCCCCGAAACTCAGCCCCCCCGAAACCCCCCTGAAAAAAATTCAGCCCCCCCCCCCGAAACGAAATCCTGGCTACGGGCCTGCCTGGCCTCTTGAAAGAGTTCAGGCTCAATCTGCTACAGAACCAACTTATTGGTCTTCTTCTTTATTGGTCTTTTATGTACTTATCCACCTGTAGCGCAGTCTTCCCCTTTTCCTGCTGCCTTCTTCCTACTCGAGCATTATTGCCTTTTCTAGGGAGTCCCAAACAAGACAACCTCATTTTGCTCGTGTTGACTTCTAGAGAAGGTTTGAGCTTGATTTCTCCAGGACCCATTCATAAGTCTTCTTTCACCAACTTGGGGCATCTATAGAACTCTCCTCATTTCCAAGGAGTTGGCTGTCTTCCTCTCCCACTTTCTTCATAACCAATTGTACAAATGGCCCTCTTCCAACTCTTTGATTCTTTGCTAGAGAGTACTTGTTTTTCATGATGCGTCCAAAGTATGACAGCCTCCGTTTGGTTGCCTTGGCCTCTACGGAGAGTTCAGGCCCAATTTGCTATGGAACTAGTTTATTTTATTTACTTATTTATTTGCAGTTTTTCTATACCGCTTTCCTCATCCCAAGGGGGACTCAAAGCGGTTTACACATAACTGACAAAACTTCAATGCCATACATTGGATACTGATGCGATGCCAAATATAAATCATAATTGGATAGTACATAAACAATCATTAAAACAATCTATATATATAAAATCCGAAGTGGCGTCGTATGAGGAAGCAAAACTCAAAAACCCCCCAACAGAAATTAACCAAAATTCCCATGCACATACCTCAACCCACTAGGTACAAACAAACCCAATCAAAATCAAAAACAACACAACACCACACTCACAAAACGGCAAAACAACTGAGCATGCGCATTGGCACCCAGCCGCAAGTTCCCTGGCACGCGCACATGGCCTGGCGGCCAATGTTCCCTCCGCGCAAGCCACGCCCCCATCCTCACGCCGCGCCGCTTCCCGCCCTGTCAAAACCATCGCAACTCACCCTCCTTCATCTTACCCTGCTCACGCCGCCACACACACACACTCACGCCGGTAAGACACGCCTCCTCCCTCCCTCCCTCCCTTCCCCCCCACCCCTTCCCTCCCTGTCTCACTCTTTCCCTCCTCCCACCCTCCGCCGGTAAGACATGCCCCCTCCCTTCGCCGCGGCGGCCCAAGCACACTCACGCCGGTAAGACACGCCCCCTTCCTTTCCCCCCACCCCTTCCCTCCCTGACTCACTCCTCCCCGTCGCAAACACACACACACACACACAACGCTCCTTCACTCCTCCCCCCGCCGCCCACACACACCTTCCGCCACACACACACACATTCACTCCAGTAAGACATGCCCCCTTCCTTCCGGCACACACACACACACACCCTCACCCCCCCCCCCGCGCGGCACACACACACACAGGCTCCCTCACTACCTGTTGGGAAAGCAGCAGCAATGGCAGCAGCAACGGAGCATCCACGCAAGGAAGAAGGGGAGGGGGGAGGGGGAGGAGGAAGGTCCACGGTGCTTGAATGAAGGACCTTCCTTCTCTCCCTCCCCTCCCTTCTTTCCTCCCTTTCTTTCCTTTTCTTCCTTCCTTCTCCTTCCTTTCCTTCTTTCCCTCCTTCCCTTCCTTCCTGTCCATCCTTCCTTTCCTTCTTTTCCTCCCTCCCTCCCTTTCCTCCTTCTTTCCCTTGCTTCATTTCCATCCCTCCCTCCTTTCTTCCCCTCCTTCCTTCCTTCTCCTCCTTCCCTCCCTCCCCTTTTCCTTCCTTCCTGTCCCTCCTTCCTTCTTCCTTTCCTTCTTTTCCTCCCTCCTTTTCCTCCTTTCCCTTTCTTCATTTCCTTCCCCTTCATTTCCTTCCCTCCCTCCTTTCTTCACCCCCCTCCTTTCTTTCCCTCCTTCCTCCCTCCCTTCCTGTCCCTCCTTTTTTCCTTCCTTCCCTTCTTTCCCTCCCTCGCTTTTTCCTTCCTTCCTGTCCCTCCTTCCTTCTTCATTTCCTTCTTTTCCTCCCTCCCTTTCCTCCTTCTTTCCCTTTCATTTCCTTCCACCCTTATTTCCTTCCCTCCCTCCTTTCTTCATCCCCCTCCTTCCTTCCACCTTCCTTCTCCTCCCTCCCTTCATGTCCCTCCTTTTTCCCCCTTCCTTCCCTTCTTTCCCCCCTCCTTTTTTCCTTCCTTCCTGTCCCTCCTTCCTTTCCTCCTTCTTTCCCATTCTTCATTTCCTTCCCCTTCATTTCCTTATTAAATGGAAGGGACAGTCAAGAAGTAATGAGAGGAGGGAAAAAGGGAAGGAAGAAAGGAGACAAGCAGGGAGGAAAGAAACAGGTAGAGATGGAAGAAAGATGAGACATAGAGAAAGAAAAAGAAGAAAGGAAGGAAAGAGAGAAAGAAGGAGAGAAAGAGGGAGTGAAGGTTGGCCACAGCAACGCGTGGCAGGGCACAGCTAGTAAATAATAAAAACAGTCTCGCCAGTCGTATTGTCATTCTGGTCCATGTCCTTAAAACTCTACAAACTTCTACTGTCCGAAAACCTGGTCCCAAAGACATGATTTTAATTACTTTCTAAAAGCCAGGAGGGAGGGAGCAGATCTTACCTCATTTGGGAACGCCCTGTCTCTCATAGAATCATAGAATCAAAGAGTTGGAAGAGACCTCATGGGCCATCCAGTCCAACCCCATTCTGCCAAGAAGAAGGAATATTGCATTCAAATCACCCCTGACAGATGGCCATCCAGCCTCTGTTTCAAAGCTTCCAAAGAGGGAGCCTCCACCACACTCCGGGGCAGAGAGTTCCACTGCTGAACGGCTCTCACAGTCAGGAAGTTCTTCCTCATGTTCAGGTGGAATCTCCTTTCTTGTAGTTTGAAGCCATTGTTCCATTGTGTCCTAGTCTCCAGGGAAGCAGAAAGGAAGCTTGCTCCCTCCTCCTCCCTGTGGCTTCCTCTCACATATTTATACATGGCTATCATATCTCCTCTCAGCCTTCGCTTCTTCAGGCTAAACATGGCCAGCTCCTTAAGCCGCTCCTCATAGGGCGTCCCCACCAGACGCATTTGCGCAACTGATGGGAGCGAGAGGAGGGCCTCCCCGAGATGGGACGTAGGGGTGGATGCGTTCAGTCAAGTAAGCTGGGCCAGAACTTATCAAGGGTAAGTAAATTAAAAACCAATAAAGAAAAAGGCCAATAAAGATGATCCACCTGTAGTGCAGTCGTCCCCTTTTCCTGCTGCCTTCTACCCACCCAAGCATTATTGCCTTTTCTAGGGAGTCCCAAGTAAGACAACCACATTTTGCTCATGTTGACTTTTAGGAAAGGTTTGGCCTCAATTTGCTCCAGGACCCATTTATTGGACTTCTTTCGCCAACTTTGGGTATCTGCAGAACGCTCCCCAAGCACCACATTTCCAAGGACTTGGTTTTCTTCCTCTCCCACTTTCTTCATAAGCAATTGTACAAATTGAAGAAGAGAAGGCTGAGAGGAGACATGATGACATCCATGTCTAAATATGTGAGAGGAAGTCACAGGGAGGAGGGAGCAAGCTTCCTTTCTGCTTCCCTGGAGACTAGGATGCAATGGGACAATGGCGTCAAACTACAAGCGAGGAGAATCCATCTGAACATGAGGAAGAACTTCCTGACTGTAAGAGCCGTTCAGCAGTGGAACTCTCTGCCCCGGGGTGTGGTGGAGTCTACTTCTTTGGAAGCTTTTAAACAGAGGCTGGATGGCTATCTGTCAGGGGTGCTTTGAAGGCAATGTTCCTGCTTCTTGGTAGAATGGGGTTGGACTGGATGGCCCAGGAGGTCTTTTCCAACTCTAGGATTCTATGAGAAATGCAATATCACATTTATTTGGTTTTACTTTACATTTGCACGGTCTTTTTCCTGATTCAGCAAGATGGGAGGAGAGGGCAGCTCTTCAGTCGATCATGCAACCATTTCCTTTGCATCTCCTTGGTGGCCAAGAGAACTTCTCTTCTCAGGTTTCACCATCCAGGTCCGTGTCACTGGGCGGACTGGCGGCTGTGAGAAGGACTTCCTAAAGGAGATTGCTGACCACCTTTGGAAGCATGAGATCTGCCTCCAGACGGAGGACTACCGAGAGGACTCCAGCCACTTCCTGCTGATCTTCTGCCCGGTGGCTACCTCAGTGGGCAGCGACATAGCCAACGCTCTCGAGGGTCTCAGCAGTAAGTCCGGGCACACCGTGGTGAAATGAAGCTCTCTCCTTTGCAAGGGCCATGCAGGCAATCGTTCCCCATTTCTCCCTTGGGATCTATGGTTGGGTGCCTTTCAGGTGAAGCCTTGGGATTGGGAAGGATGAGCTGGAGAAACAAACTTGGTGACAGCAGTTGGCCTCCTGAGTCCCTTCTGAGCATGCCCAAACAGGGACACAGAGTAGATCCAACAGGCCTGCCTCACCAGTGTATTAATGCAGAGATAAGTTGAGTCAGTTAAATAGAAATCATGAAGAAAGTGGAGGTTTTTCTCTCTAATCCTGCCAGGACTCACCATCATCCTGTGCCTCTCCTTCCAGGTGAGCCGAAGGCTGTCTTGGTGCTGCTGCACCACAAAGTGAGGGAGAGCACCTCCTTTATAGATACCAAGGAGCAAGCGCAACACCCGGCCGTCGTGCGCACCGTCCATGCTCGCTACTTGCTTGATGATGGCTTCTATGCTTGCCAGATGAATGAGGAGGCCGTGGCCCAGGTGGCAGAAGCCCTCAAAGACCACTGGGAAGATTCTTAAAATAGTGAAAATATTACTCTGGCTTTTACCATTCATGGCTTGAAATGGATGGCGGAGGATTGTGGCTTCGATGCTGGTGGTCTCGGCTTCTTCTTCTGATGGTGGGCAACGGAGAGCCCCCTGTCTTCAAGCTGATCTGACCTGCAGCTGGGAGTTCTGCAGTTCCTGGGAATGTGGCCACAGCAGCAGCTTCAACTCAAAGACCTCCTTTTGTCTTGCTTTGTCTTGCTTTCTTCCCCTTACCCTAACATTGTAACAAATTCCCCAATAAAGTATCATCAATTTGTAACTTTTTCCTCTCCATAGTGATACATTCTGTCCTTTTACTGTCTCTAACTTTCTCCAGTATAAACTTTCCCTCTCCCGAGCCGCAGATCCCTGCTGGCTTGCCCAGAATGCGTCAACTTTGAACCATGAAACTGTGTCAACTTTGAACCATGGATACAGAAACCCATTGGGCCCCCATATCCGCGCATCAATGGATCACTTTCAACCGGTGCCATTTTTCTCCTAGACTAATTCTAAGGCTAACTGCTATCTTGCTTTTTGCATTCTGGGCCCCTACACTCCGGGAATAACCTTTTTCACCCCAGAACTTCATGTGGAGACCAGCTGATTGTGTTCCATGGCTCCTTGCTGCAGCGTTGTTCCTGCCACCATCTCATTGATGTCCAGAAGCCTGTTGACCTAGGGAACCTGCTGTGGTCACTCCTTGGGACTCCCAGGGAGCAGACAGGCCATCCTGATGAGATGGGATTTATCGTTTTCTTCTCCCAGATGAAAGGACCTCAACCCTCAGCACTCGCAATGATCCCAGCATGAACCCAATGGACTTACAGAACCATTTCCCCTTAATCTCATGAACACTTTGGACACTTGTTGGACTTTTGCCCACTTTTGGCCAACCTTTTGAACTTTTTAGAAACTTTTTTCCCTTCAAACCCCATGGACTCTTGCTATGATTTATGAACTTTCAATGGACTCTGGTGGGTGGGATGGGTGGATATGATTTCTTTCCCCCTCTATATGAATGTATCCCCTATGATCCCCTTCAGGCATGTAGCTGTGGGGAGGGGCCTTGAGGGGCTTCAGCCCCCCCCCCCAGAAAAATCCTCAGGGTGGTCCGTGAGAAGGCCTTACTGGTACATTATTTAAACTGTTATGTGTATTCATATCATGATCTGATCACCATGCTCAATATATCCCATATGCATGGGGGTATTGGGATAATGATACAAAAGATTTGCTAGGGTAAATCCTGAGTCCTCCCCCCCCCCAACCCCAAATCAAAATCCTGGCTATGGGCCTGATCCCCTTGTATACCTTCCCCTGTCCCCATATCCCTATATGAAATATGAAATGTCGCCTCTTCGTGAATCCAGCAACTCATGGGCCCCAGGAAATCTCCTCTCCTGGGCCAAGCTAATCCCTAAACAAAAGGACTCACCAAGAATACTTTGCATGGCTGATAAACAAATGGCTCCACTTCCTCAGACCTCGGAGAAGTCAAAGACTTGCCCATCTGAAGAACGGATCCTAAGGACATTTAATCATCAATCACAAAGAGGTTTGGTCACCTCTGTCTCCTTCCTTTCTTTGACAAATCTCCTGGCTGAAACTGATCCCAGATAACATCAACAAATCCTGTATTTTGAACCCAAGGACAACAAAGGTACTGACTCTCAGTCAATCTCCAGAAGCCCAGGACAGTAGCCTAGTGGACTTGAAGGCTCAAGGAAAGCTATTGCCTGCACTTATGCAAATCATCAACCATTTAATCCATTCAGAATTGTCTCCTGGTTCATTGTTTTCTCCCTCGGACAGCCTCTTTCTTCCTCATTGGCCGAGAGGCTGAAGCTGTGCTGGCTCTCTAATTGGCCAAGCCAGCTGCGCCTTCCTCCAGCTGATGACTCCATCCAATCAGTGTGAAGCCAGCAAAGGGGGGCGGGAGCAGGAAATTTGAATCTGACAGGCTGTATTTTCTATAAGAACTGTATCTTTTCCCTTCACCAAACATGACAGCTTTGGCAAATGATTGCAGTTTGACATTCGCTCCAGCTGGAACGATTTTCTCCAACTTTGGTGAGATTTATTTGGGAAAATCAGGGAAAATTCTTTGAGTGCTTCCTTCTCACCAGGGTTAAAATGGATCCTCTTTGGTGGGTCTGGCTGGTCTCTGTCTTCAAGGCAAAGACCCCCAAAATCTTGCCTGATATCACTCCCAGAACCCTGATGTTAGTCTGCCTGTCTTTCCAAGAGATTTGCAGGGTTTTTCAGAGGCAGCACTGATGGAATCATTCCAGAAGTTGAGAGTAACGTTTAAAATGTTAAAACTTTAACAAACACCCAATTAGGAAAACCCTGATGAAAAATTGGAACAAGCATTTACAGAAAACCCACACACAGAGATAGATATCTACATCAAGACTCCAACCATCACCCAAATAAAAAAAAGAAACACCATTAAAGCCTTGGCAGACCGGTCAAAAAGAACCTGTGAAGCCCACCTCCTCCTCCAAGATGAATTGAACCACCTCAACTGGGCTCTACAGGCCAATGGAGACTCCACCTCAAACATCAGAAGAGCTGCAAGACCAAGAACAAGCCACGCTCTCAGTCTTGCAGCCCTTCTGATGTCTGAGGTGGAGTCTCCATCGGCCTGTAGAGTCCAGTTTAGGTAAAGACAAAGATCCACCCAGAGGAAAAGTGGTCTTGCCAGACATCAAGGGAATCACTGACCGGATAGGGAAGCTGATGAGGAAACACAACCTACAAACTAGCTACAGACCCACCAAGAAAATCCAACAAATGCTACGTTCAGCAAAGGACAAGAGGGATCCTCTCGCTTCTGGAGGAGTCTACCGTATACCATGCAGCTGTGGACAAGAAGTCTCCAGAGGGACCACCAAACGCAGCAGCATTGCCCAGACACGAATCAAGGAACATGCAGACTCCTTCAACCAGAGAAGTCAGCCATAGCAGAGCACCTAAGGAACCAACGTGGACACAGCATATTATTTGAGAACACAGAAATGCTGGACCACTCTCACAACCACCATGTCAGGCGACACAGAGAAGCCATTGAAATCCACAAGAAGCATGTGGACAATTTCAACAGAAAGGAGGAAACCATGAAAATGAACAAAATCTGGCTACCAGTATTAAAAAACTCTCAATGTTGTTGTTGTGTTGTTCATTCGTTCAGTCGTCTCCGACTCTTCGTGACCTCATGGACCAGTCCACGCCAGAGCTCCCTGTCGGCCGTCACCACCCCAGCTCCTTCAAGGTCAGTCCAGTCACTTCAAGGATGCCATCCATCCATCTTGTCCTTGGTCGGCCCCTCTTCCTTTTGCCTTCCACTTTCCCCAGCATAATTGTACATCTCACCAATAACAACATCCAATTTGCCCTGGCTCATAGATCTTACATTCCAGGTTCCTATGGTGTGTTGATCTTTAGAGCATCGGATTCGTCGTTCACCTCCAGTACCGTCGGCCGCTAGCCTTCCTTTCGGCTTCGAGCTAGCTGCGTCATCACATCTGGGGCTAGTTGAACTTATCCTCTGCTCCTCCCCAGTAGCATTTTGGCCATCTTCCGACCTGGGAGTCCCATCTTCCAATGGCATACCGACATATCTCTGGTTGTACTGGTCATTTAGTTTTCTTGGCAAGGATACTGGAGTGGTTTGCCATTGCCTTCCCCAGGGATCACGCTTGGTCTGACCTCTCTGCCACAACCGTCCCGTCTTGGGTGGCCCTTCACGGTTTCGCTCATGACATCATTGAGGTGCTCAAGCTCTAGCGCCACAACAAGGCGGTGATCCTTTGCTGGAGTCTAAAATTACAACAGCAAAAGAACACCTCTCAACAAAAGATTGCTCCAGGCACTGCCAGGCCATCAAATGCTAATCAAGGTGGTCAGTTGAAACATTCACACCTAGCTCCAGCAGACAGGAGTCCTTTGTCCCACCCTGGTCATTCCGCAGATTTTTTTTTTATAATTCTTTATTGAGTTTTTTATAATACAGCGAAAGTGGGGGAATAATATAAGAAGATAGAAAAGTAGGAAAATACCCCTACCCTAATACCCGTGAGAGGGAAAGAAGAGAAAAAAGCAGGGAGAAAAAGAAAAAAGGGGGGGGGGGAGAAAAAAAATACACACCAAAAACCAAATTTAAAAAAAGGAAAAAAATCCAAAAAAAAATCAAAAAAATCAAAAAGTCAAAACTACAAAAATACAAAAATTTAAAAAAGACAAAAAAGAAAAAAGAAAACAAAAAAAGGACTCCCTTCTGATTCAGCGCGTCCAATAACTTTCATCTTATATCTAATAAGTTCCATAACTTGTCATCCAATGTCCTCAAGTTCTTTGTATAGATTGATGTGTTGTTTCTATGTACTCTTCAACAATTGACCAATTTGTCTCTTTAATTACATTACCTGTATTCTTCTTTAATAAAAAAAGTTAATATATCCATATCTTTTATTTCACTTATTTTGTCTGTCCAGTGGAGTTTTCCTGGTATTTCCTTCTGTTTCCACATTTTGGCGAAGACAATTCTGGCAGCTGTTGTCAAATATACAAATAGAATGTCCTCGTTGGAGTCCAGTTTAATGTCATCATCTGTAATAGAGGGAGAAACCGTGGAGGCTGTGACAGACTTTGTATTTCTAGGTGCAAAGATGAGTGCAGATGCAGACTGTGGCCAGGAAATCAGAAGACGCTTACTTCTTGGGAGGAGAGCAATGTCCAATCTCGATAAAATAGTAAAGAGTAGAGACATCAGACTGGCAACAAAGATCCGCCTAGTCAAAGCCATGGTATTCCCTGTAGTCACCTACGGAAGTGAGAGCTGGACCTTAGGGAAGGCTGAGCGAAGGAAGATCGATGCTTTTGAGCTGTGGTGTTGGAGGAAAGTGCTGAGAGTGCCTTGGACTGTGAGAAGATCCAACCAGTTCATCCTCCAGGAAATAAAGCCCGACTGCTCACTGGAGGGAAGGATACTAGAGACAAAGTTGAAGTACTTTGGCCACATCATGAGGAGACAGGAAAGCCTAGAGAAGACAATTATGCTGGGGAAAGTGGAAGGCAAAAGGAAGAGGGGCCGACCAAGGGCAAGATGGATGGATGGCATCCTTGAAGCGACTGGACTGACCTTGAGGGAGCTGGGGGTGGTAACGGCCGACAGGGAGCTCTGGCGTGGGCTGGTCCATGAGGTCACGAAGAGTCGGAGACGACTGAACGAATGAACAACAACAAAAGTATTCAGCCTTTCTTGGGAAGTTCTTT